AGGACCAGAACCGAACCAAATGACAGCCTAATAGTATTTTCTTTATCTTTAATAATATTTTTATTATTTATTTTTAATATTATAATAATCTTTATAATTAATTTCTAAAAATTCTAAAAAATTTTTTAAAATTTATTTTTTTTTAAAAAATCTTTTTACTATTATTCCTAGAAAGCTATTTTCTATTTTTAAATTCTATTTTTATCTTTCTTCATTATGTATAACAAACTATTATAATAATCATTTTTAAAGTAATTAATTAATAGATTCTATTAATTTTAATTTTTAAAAAATATTTAATTCTTAGTTTAAATCTTTATAAATTATTTTTTATTCATTATCTTAAAATATTAAATTATATTGAATTTCACTTTTTAATAAAAATTATTGATATTTAATTTAATAATATATTAATTTATTATTCTTTATTTTTTTAATAATTATATACTTTTTTAATCTATATCTTTTTTTCAAATTATATCTTTCTCATATATTTCTAAAATATCTTTTAAATTTTTTAAAATTTATTTATTATAATATAATCTTTTTTAATTTATATTTAAATTCCTAATTTAATATTTTATTTTATATTTTTTTATATTTTTTATATTTTTTTATATTTTTTTCTTTTTTTATTATTATTTATTTTAATATCTTAATAAATAATAAAAAATTATAAATTAAAGATTACTACTTTATAATAATCAATATTATTAGATTTTTATTCTTATCAATAGTCTTTTATAAAGTATCTTTTTATTTATATTAATAATAAATCTTTTTTTTATCTTTAATTCTATTTTTTTATTAATAATAATATTTATTTATATCTTAATATCTCTATCTTAATTATATTATAATTATTTTAATTAATAGCTATATAATTATTTATAAATTATTAATTCTTTATATTGTTATGATCGGCATAAACAGGAATTTATAGTATCATTGAACGAGAATTCTAAATATGAGGAAAGAATTATGTACAGCTACACATATTGTGAATAGATGACTAATGTGGGAACACATATCACATGGCACATATCTCACTAGTCCTAGCCTTAGCTATCTTAATTATTTAAGATAATCAAGGTATTAATCTAGCTATTATATTATTATTTTTTTTAAAAAAGATATGACTATTTTTAGCTATATAATTTTAGTATTCTATATATATTAGATTATCATTTAAATAATTCTTTAAGAATTTATTATTTATAGCTATTATTAATTATATCTATAGATATTTTAAAGATTCTAATTTATTTAAATATATATTATAAAATTATTATATTAAATCTAATATATTTTTAAAATCTAATATAAAATACTATATAGTAGTAGTAGTAGTAGTAGTAGTAGTAGTAGTAGTTCTCATTGACCTGTTCTAACTAGCTTCCATACTATCACTGCTATACAGGGTTAGGCTTTAGCCTGTAGGGTCTCTTAGACTAAGTATAGCATCTATACTACATTATAACATAGCTCAGAGAATATATCATAGAAAAAGAATTAAGCTAATCTATAAATAGCTAGCATATATTAAAAATTAATAATATAAATAATATAATTTTTAATTCTTTATTATTTTCTTTATTTTCTTCTTATATTGTGCTTTTTAATGTTTATTTATAATTTTATTATCTATTAATCTATTACTATCTATCTTGTTTTTTATTATATATAGATCTATTATTATCTATTTTATTTTCTTCTATCTATTTAGCTAGACCTCTATTACTCTTAATTCAGTATTTAATATATTAATTTATTCTTTAAGCTATTTTTATAATATTTTATTTCTCTATCTTATCCTCTTAATTTTTATCTATAGATAGAATATTTATACTATAATTAGTTTTTATTAATCTTAAGTAGAGTCTATATATTAATATCTATTTTATTTATTTTTATAGATAAAATTATATTTAGTATCTTTATTAAGAGTTTTAGGTTATATATTTTAAATTTTTTTTTATATTACTTATATATTTAGTATTTTAAATTTAATTATTTAGAATTGATCTAAAATTTTTATAATTATAAATTATATTATAATAGCTGCGATTTCCTTACTGCTGAAAAATGTATTAAATTTAAACTAGATTAATATCTAGATCTAGCGCTTAATATATTCTCATAGTTTTTGTTATTATTGGGAGTACTAATAGCAGATTAATATAATATATTTCAGAGTTTGACTTTTACAGCCGCAGAGACATTGAGGTGAGTCCCAATAATTGATTTATCAGAGGTAGTAATTCAGGCTGACGCACCCAGTGTGTAGTTGGATTAATATTGAGGCGGTTGCCTTTCGCAGACCGCCCTAGTAACGCCTATATCTCAGTCTGGTTTTTATTTATTATAATGATCATTAAAGATTAATTATATTTATTTTAATATTTTTCTATAAAGACAATTTAAAATATAGATGATTATATTAATATCATTTTTAATTTTATTAATTTCTAATTAAGCTTTATTTTAGATTATAGATATTAATATTTTTAATAACTTTAATATTTATAAGAAGCTAAATCTCTAACTAATTGATATATTTTTATATTATCATTATAACTGTACAATACTTATTATTAATTCATTTACTAATAATCTAATTATTATTAATATTAAATACTATTACTTACTTAATAATTTCTAAACCTTTATTATCAAAATATATATAATAATTTATCTAAAATTAAAAAGTCACTTAAAATATTCTATTAATATAATAATAAATAGTTTTAAAATAAAATAATTTTATTATAAAACTAAGAATAATAAAATAAATTATTAAAATACTAATAATAGTATATTATTTAAATATAAATAATGAATTATTATATTTATTTAATAAAATTAATAATAAATTTATTTTAAAACTATTTATTATTATACTTAATATAATTAAATATTATTTTAATAGTATTTATTAGTTCTTCTATATTTATAAATTAACTATATATATATTATAATATATATAATATATTTAACTTTTTAGTTTTAAAAGATATTATTCTCTTATTCTAAATTATCATTTTATTTAAATTGTATAAATTTAGATTTAATCAATAGTGATTAGAGTTAGTTTATATTGAACTAATTCTTAGTCAAATCCGGCCGTGTTTGGGCGTAGAATTTCAAGAATTCGATTCCGCGAGAAAGAGTTGTTTTTACTACTACTACTACTACTACTACTATTATATTATTTTTTTTATAATTACTTTATTAGCTATATGAGAGCTTGTAAATTTAATAACTAATAAATGAAATTTATATTTTAGCTTTATTAATTAGCTTAGATATATAATTTTGATTTCTTTCTCCCATAACGTATTCCACGGGCATTTGGAACACACGGGTATTTGGAACACCCACCCGCACCTCTACATATTGAAGCAACCCAGATTCATAATTAACCATAGAAAATTGCATATAATTCTATATAGAATTATTCTAACATAATATACGATTATATTCTATTTATCTATAATTTATACATTTAGATAATGTACACTTATGAGGCTAAAAAGCCTCAACCAAGATAGTTAATTAATTAGACAAATTATCTTTTTAAAATACTATAATAAGCTTCTAATCTTTAGTAATAATTAAAATATTCTTATTATAAAATAATCTTAATTAATATTTCTTTTTTTACTTTTATATTTATTTATTACTTATAAATTATGATTTTTCTTTACTAAAATCACTACAGAATATATTACTAATAAATATTTTTTTATTAACTAATTAAAAGCTTAATTTATAAATAAAAAAGAGCTTTTAATATATTATTTTAAATATTATTTTATTAATTTAGTTTAACATTATAAAGTCTAAATATTATAAGATATTATAAGTAAAGTATTACTTATTAATAAAATATCTAGCTTTAAGATCTTTAGAATAAAAATTCTAATAATAATTTTTAATCAAGATAGAATAAATTTAGAATTAAATAATAAAATATTTATATAAAAGAAGCTATTTATAATATTTTTAATAGAATAAATCTCTATATAGATTACTGATAATATAATAAGAAAATTATATTTATTAATATAATTAATACTACAGTATATTTAATCCTTAATAACATATTCAAAACAGTATTTAAAAATAATAAAAATATTTATATTAAGTGATTATAATAAATATAAAGAATATAGAGATATATATACAGAGATAATATTATTATTATAATAATATTGATCTTATTTAATATTAAATAGCTACTATAACTATTTAATATTAATAATTAATACTTTCTAACTGTATAAAGCTTTATTAATTTATTAAATATATTTTAAAGTTAAAGTAAGTTAATTTCATTCAATATTTAGCTATTTAATGATTATATTATTGATTAATTAAATAATAAACTTAGATAAATATATTAATCAGTCTATTTATTGTCAAAAGTTGTCAACAACTCATCTCAAGATCGGAAATCTTAGAGGATATTCTGCTAATACAAGATAAAAGAGTTGTATAAGAATAATAGTAGTAGTAGTAGTAGTAGTAGTAGTAGTATTCATTCACCTGTTAAAGCTAGCTAACTGATAATGCTGCTATGCAGGGATACTCTCTAACCCGCAGGAGCTATATATAAGAGTGGTACAGCCATAAGCAGCGCAGCCAAAAAGCTGAGCTGCAGAAGAATTAAAGCTATTAAGATAATCTAAATTAATATAAACTAATCAAATAAGTAAACAAGTTAAACAAATGGAATAGAATAAGTGAAAATATTAAAATCTAATACTCTATTCTTCTTACATTCTCACTGTCTCACTATAATATACCCACGTAGCCCAGCTCGACTCTACACGCTCCCTGATATATCTATAGGGCCCAGCTCATGTCTTATCCTATCAATGCTCTATATTACAGTTTCTAAGCTATCTTTTATGCAGATATTAGTCTAATAGGCAGCTAGATCAATCCTGAGCGCTGACCGCTAAGTGTATAAATCTTGATGTGAATACATTAATATCCTAATGAATACTATTTTCTGGATTAACTGTCTCTATTGCATATAGATTAGTTACTTGAAATTGACTAAGCAGCCTGGTATTATATACAAATTTAGCGATACTGACTGCTGTGCTTTTCTTCAACAATAATTTCTTCATTGGCGCGTCTCTGCGCACCTCTTGAATCCGCTTTCACATCGCCTCATGTTCTTCCTCATGTAATTGACACTTTATTAGAATATGGTGTGGTGTCTGTTCCAACAGATTGTATAGATACCAAGGCGAGTCTTATCTGTTAATTCGCTAGAGGTATTAATTCAGTCCAATAATTCCCAAATACATCTGTACTAATATCAACGATGAGGCCTTATATACTCCCTTCTAGTAATTAAATATATATTTATTTAGCTTTGAGATGAGGAGTCTTATAGATTTATCTGCTTTTCCTTTCTTTTATATCTGCGTCCAGGCATCTTTTACTGCCTAATAAATCTATTACTTTGCTGCCAAGACCAGCTATATCCAGTATTCTCCTAGTCTTATTTCTTTCTTTACTCTCTCTATAGCAGCATGTTTTGTTGTTTGGTCTACTGCCTCATTCCTATCTACTCTTTCGTGGTCTGGAATCTATTATAAGGTGATATTGAGGCCTGTTTTATACATCATATTAAGCAGGCTTAGACAGTCCTTAATCTAGGTCTAGCTTAAAACTATGTATGGATTAAGTAGCATTTTTAAGACAGCTTGACTGTCTAAGAAAATCATTATTTTATGTCAGCTTCGCATCTGTCATTGAGATTTATTATTAAGTCATTAAACAGTCTATAATATTATATAAATTCTTTCTACCTCTGCTGTGTACACTGTCGTCATGCCTTCTATCCCTAGATACCTGACTATCTATGACCCTGTCTTTAGCACATATATAGCCGCCCTGACATATCCCATATATCTGCTCCCATCGGTATAAATCATTAATGACAGATTTTCGTATCTTTGAATTAAGTTATAATTTAAAATTGCTTCCTTACATTCCTAGATAATCATCTTTGAAGACATCTGCCATGGCGCTTTAATATATGCTTAATAGCTCTCCCAATTCCTTAGTACGGTTTCTAAAAAAACCCTTAAGCAACCATTTTTCTTCTAGACCTGCATTTTCATTGATATATATCCACTAAGTTTGAGTTTATTGTCTAACCGCTTATATAGTAGTTCCATAGAGATTACTTATCATAATCCTATTCTAATCTATAGTGTAGTTTTCTTTACTAACTAATCTATCTAGAACTTTATAGATAATAGATATAATTTCACATTAAATACTTCAGCTATAATGGTTTGAAAGACACTACTGATTAGATATACTGCATGCTTTTATATACCTATAAATTAGCTTAATATCTTATTCGCTTCCTTTTTATTAGTAGATTGATATCATACTGTTATCCTATAGAGCATCTGTAGTATCACTATTACGCGATAGATGTAATGCATGCTGATGAGTGTTATACCCTATATAAATCCAGTTAATCCTTAAAATACCTATAGGCTGATGTTTACCTTAGCCACTACCTTTTCTTTATAAATTCTGAAATCAAGATTGAGGTCCAGCCAGAAGCCTAAATATCTTTCTATAGTGTGTGTCGCTTCAATTAAAATGCTATCTGGCAACCTAATAGAAATGAATTCTAGCTATATAATATTATATAAATTTACAAAGTGAATTAATTTATACTTCTTTATATCAAATATTAAGATATAATATACAGCTTAGTGATCTGTCTATTCACAGACTTGCTGAAGCTTATTAATATTAGTCTACTCTAATATCTCTATTATTATAATATTTATGTCGTCTATTTATCCTTTAGCTATGGTTTATTCTTCTTAATTAATACATATCTTGATAAGCTCTACATTATAGATAAGATAAAGAATCAATAAGAAAAGTAAGCCTTATAAAATATCTATTAAAGTTATTATTCATTTTTCTATCTTCTTAGACATTCGGATTTAGATACTTCATCCAGTTAAAAAAACACGGACCTATAGCATTAGTTAGTCTAAATGGCAGCTACATAGATTATACAATAAGCATTTATAATATATATTATTATATATTCCAATAATATCCAGTAGAAGCATTAATACTATTAAAAGGCTTTAGCCCTATATCTGACAGATTCGCTCTATAATGATTTATATGATATAGTCTATAGACACCCCTCAACATCCCTTTATATATTCATCTAATAAGAGATTATAGATCTCTATAGCATAATTAATCCACTTTATAATGATTACTTCTAGAAATTTTTCTAATATATTAAACAGTATAATGGATCGATATACTTTAAATATACAATAGTCCTAGTCTTTTTCTTTATAAAGAATAACTATTATTAAACATTAAAAGTAGCTTAGATTATAGCTCTAATCAATATATATATTATATATCTCACAGAATATATCTACCACTTTTGGATTTTTAATGGTATACTGTTATAGGCTATTTAGTATCTTATTATCTCCTAGAGCCTTATTTAAGCTTATACTCCTCACAGTCTCTACTATCTTATAAAGCTGGATTCTCAGGAATTAAAATTAATTTAGATATTATATATTTTCTATATCTAATAAATCTATTTATAACACCTATAAAAAGAATACTTATTAAAAGAAGTAAGCTTTACTCTCTAGAATTTCTACAAGTTCTCTATCTAGATTTCTAAATATAGAAATCACTCTCTATTCATATATCCTTATTCAGATACATGCCCATTTGACCAGCTTCTATAGTCTATAAAGGCCTTATTCAGTGACTTCCTAAACCTATCTATAGTGTTCTCAATATAGTTCTTTATTAACAAGCCATTTTTTCATATTCCATACCCTATAATAATATATCTACCCATTAAGAGTGTATATATATAAGTATTACCTATATAAATATCATATAGTTTTTACCACTTCCCTATAGGCCTCACTGAAATCTAGATTAGACCATTTATATAGCCTTATCCATAGTATTAATTTATGAATAGTTCAATAGATTATAACTAAAAAGGCTATTATTATTAATTTAATTATAGCCTTAAAGCAGTCCACTAGATTAAATATATTCAGATTTATTTCAATTGACTCCATAAAAATCTTATAGTCTATGGCTTTCTAATTCCAACATATTAAGATCTCATAAATAGACATTTCAATATCTAATAATATCCAGATTAAGTAATAATCTAAATTATATTATACATCATCTACATAAATATATACCTTCAGTTGGTTCTCTAAATTTATTAATATAAAGATCAAATCAATTATTAATCTTAATTCTTCTTATTTCTATATCACTACTTCTTTCTCTATACTAAGTTATAAGTCATATTAGTCTATGATTTCCAGGATCAGTTCTTCTTCTAGATTCATATTAGTTCTAGATCCCCCCTAAGCTAGATAATATATATTTAAGTCTTTCAATATAATATATTCAACAATCAATCTTATTTCTTAAATTCAGTCTAGCTGCCAGTATATAACTTTAAATATATCACTCCTTAATTTATTATATATATTATAAACAAATAAACTTCAAATCTGCCTATCTCATTCATAGTTGATACACAGGATTTAATAATCTTAAAATATCACTATATATTGCCACTTACTTAGATCTAGACTCTTTATCACAAATAATATCACTCTTATCCTCTCTAGACCTTCTATTTCACTCTATTTAAAATATAATATCTGATAAATACATATTACTGGTTAATATATTATTTCATTGATTAGATTATTCTATGGTTCTTATATTACAATTATATCAGTCTTTAGAATATAAGTGTTTTACAGAAATATTACTATCACTTTATTCTTTAATTTATTAGTATTATACTGGATAATCTTAAATACTTTCTTATTCATTAAAGCTGAATTCTTCAGTAAGGCTGTTTAGTATAGAGTTTAAGCTAAAGATTAATCAAATGGCCTCTATAACATCATTTAGATTAATAGCTCAGCTATCTCAATAGATATTAAAGTTTTCAAATATATAATGTGTTTCTAATCCATAGTTAATAAGATTTAGTTTATCATTTAACATTAAGCTATTAAATATGATATTATTATTAACTAATATTATATCTGAATCAATCATAGAAGGAATTAGAGGTAGATCTAATTCAATAAATAAGATTTATTATACTGTCTAGCTCATTTATTCAATAGTTAATAACACAGACACTTTAATTAGAATAATTATAGTAGTTATATCTTCCTCTATATCAACTTATCAGTGTTTAGTGTCCATTCTAAAAAGCCTATCTAGATTATTTAATATTATCATTAGCTATTCTTAACACTGAGATCAGATATTAGCCAGTTCTAACTATATAGCTTATTAACTCATTTACTGACTTACTAATACTGTTAAGCTAATTAATTTATTAATATTCAATAACTCAGTCTCTTTCTCTATAACTAAGGATTTAGACTTAGAAAGCCTTCTATAGACCCTTTTATTCTTAATTATCAATATAATAATCTTTCAGGATAGTGCTATCAAAGTAAAGGCAATTATATTATTAGCAATAGAAGTCTATATTAATTTAAAATTAATAGTAATAAGAATAATACTTTTAAATATAGATTTTATAAAATTTATAAAGATTAATAACTTTATATAGTTCAGAATCTAATAGAAAGATTTATAATTAATAATAATTTCTTTTACACAATCTAGTACTTTTCTTTTCTCTATACACTTTATGTTTAATATTTTATAATCTCCCTTACAATTAATGCACTTAGAATCAACTTTCTCACTTCTAATAGATAGACATTCTCAGAATAGATGTTCACTAACACAGATGCTATACACATAACTATTAGATAGATATTAAACATGGATATACCTAAATTTTTAGCACTTAACACACATCTTATACTATTCTTTCTTATAGAAAATTATAATATTATAGCTCTATACTTCCTAGATAGTGCTTTATCAAATTGCTTCATTTATAGTAAGAAGGCTTATAAACTCAATAATCAATAATCTTTCATACTTTCTTTTATATAGCTAGATCAGCCAACTCATATAAATAATACTAATTATCAATCCTTAGATATACTGATTCTAAGCTATAAGCTTAGTAATAATATCCTTTATAGTCTCTTTA